GGAGAGCCTCATCTTCCTCCCCCGAGTGGTGGGTTGGCTTGAACCATGAACCTTGTGTTTATTGTATAGTTTTACTTAATATTTAAAGAAAAAAAATTCTATCCTGTTATAAAGATTGCATTGTAACCTGCTTTTCCTGCATCATGTTAGTTCATGAGCAGGTTATAATTATGTTGTTTGTTGTTATTAGGTGCCATAGAGTTAGTTGCGACCCATAGCGACCCTGTATAGGGGTTCCGAGGAGCAGCTGGTGAGCTTGAACCGCCGACCTTGCAGTTCAAACGGCTTTGCAGTCTGGCGCATTAACCTGCAGTGCCACACCAGGACTCCATGTTACAATTACAGTCTGTTATAAAATCATGTTTGGTAAGGTGGAGTGTCAGAGAAAAAGAAGAATACCTTCAACGAGATGGATTGGCCAAGTAGCAGCATTGATGGACTCAAACGTGGCAACAATAGTGAGGTTGGCCCACGATCAGGCAGTGTTTCGTTCTGCTGTGCATAAGGTCGCTATGAGTCGATACCGACTGGATGGCACCTAACAACATAAAATCATCATTCTAAATTGATGCCTTGTTTGTGGTACATGCTAAAATACACTTAAAATAATAATTCTCTCCTTTTCATTCATTTGGGAAGAGGAGCTCAAAGTCCACACAGGGAGCAAGTGGTGAAACTGGGACTCGAACATGAATCTAAGGTGACGACAGTACCAATGCAAACAGCCAAGTTCTCAGACATGGTAAGAACATTGCAGAAGCGTTACACAAGAAGCGTTATAATAGCAAGAATGACTAACAAGTATTAATGGCCCATGACTAGAGAACAAATGCCACTAATTATATTAATATACTGGTCATATTAGTAATGTCTGCACACTATTATTCATGCAAATATTATCAGCAGGAGTCAGAGGCAGTTGCTGGGCCCAGCCTTGAGCTCCTGGTTCAGGTCTCCCCGCCCCCTTGTTCCAGATGTGCAGAGGCTGGAACTTTCTGGGACACGCCCCCACGGAGCTTCCAGAAGTCAATCGGCGCACAGAAGGCGGGGCCCTGTGAGCGACAATGGTGCTATCCAATGGGCTGACAGTTTGGGCCACGGCTAAGCTAATGGGCGCGCTGCTCTTCGGTGGTCGGAAGTGGTGAGGAGACTTAGGGCGGTTGCCGAGTGTGGAGGCTGATAGAGGGAAACTGCTGTGGCTAGCGGCTCGCTTCCAGGTCTCTCCTCGGGTTTCGGGTGAGTTGTGGCGGCGGCCCCACATCGAAAGTCCCTTCCAGCCTCCACCACGGGAGGAGACAGGCTTCGAGAGAAGGGATGTGTAAGGGTGAGGGCCTAGGCCCCGGGGGTCGCGGCCTTGAGGAGGACGCTACCCGCGTCGCCGCGTCTCCTCTGCCGCGCTCCACCCCCGGTAACCGTAGCCTCGACGCCGCGGCGGCGCCGCCCTCTTCCCGGCTCGAGGAGTGGAGAGACCCCGCGGGGCTTAGCGCGACCTCTCGGTCTGCGCACCCGGGTTCGAATCTCGACTCTGAAACGGCGAGTAACTGCCTCACGGATCTCTGCTTTCCTAGTCTGTAAAGTGGGGATAATGACATTCGCCGTAGAGGTTTGTGATCAAGAAGAGAAGAACCACTCGAGCGAAGCGTTCAGTCAATGGTAACCCCTCCTATTGGGGAGCTGGTGCCCCCTCTACGCTCACCCTCGCCCCTTTCTAGAAAAGCGCACCCCCATATTTGGAGGGAGGGGCCGGGGACCCCGCGGTGTAGCTACTTGCCGCCTAGGCAGAGAAATCTCCGAAACTTCCAGGCATCTGGTCGACCCCCAACAAATGATAATACCGTGTTTGAACACTTTAGGGGCCAGCGCTCTCCCGACAACCCTTTGGAATTAACTGGGAGCAATCTGAGGCCTTTGCAGCCGCCCCCAACCTTCTTAAACCTAGAAAATGGCCTTTCCCTCCTGTGAGGTGACCATTTAGGGACACGCCTAGAAGCAGCCAGACAGCCCTCCCCACCCCCTCCAGAGAAGTTATTTGTTTTCATAGAGTTTTCTAGAACTTGCCTCCCAGCTGACCTTTCTAATCCGAGTGTATAGTCTAAATCATGTCACTTCCGGGTTTAAAATCCTCGGTTTTCAGTTTGGAATAGAACCCAGGAGCATTTCTGGTTGATAGACCAGTTCTTCTTGCCTCACTCTCTCTTATGTTCTCTCAAATCGGCCTTTACTTTCTCTTTCATCTTTTGCTCATCCCTCATTCTTGTTCTCTTCCTCTTTTTTAAGTCTTTTTGCTTTAGGTCTTAGTTAAAATTCCCTCCTCACGCTTTCCTGAATTACTCTTATCCAAAGTAGATTTTTCTCTACTTTGTCTCCATTTATTTGGGTACTTTCGCGTCAAAATGCTCACCTTAAGTTTTATTTCTTTATTTGCTAATTGTTTTTCTTGACCACTTGTTCTCTGTTAGGTCAAACACTGTTTTTCTTTGATTTGTAAAGTAGCTTTAGTGTCAGGCACTAAATGTCTGTCTGGCACATGTTTGGAACACTGACGGGTTGGTTTGGTAATACTGACACCAGTCAAAAGACTTATGACAGGGGAAGTATTCAAGACTATTTTTGTGTCATGCAAAGGAATGTCTAGTAAATAGTGGATGTGAAGTTTGTCTTCACATTGCTTTCTGCACTGACATCTTGTTTATAAAGAAGGAAGAACTACACTATAGAAAGTTGGCTGACATCACCCCAACTAAGTGATTGATGTTAGGGTCAGTTGACCTCACGGATTGTATTGTGGTATTGAAGTCCTGGTGTGATGCTATGGGTTAATGCGCTGGACTGCAAAGTTGGTGTGAGCCATAAGGTCGGCAGTTCAAGCTCACTGGATGCGCCTCAGAAACCCTGTACAGGGTCGCTATGGGTTGAAACCAACTCCATAGCACTTAGCAACAACACTGTGATATCACATTGTATTGTGATAGGATACAACAGATGGACACAGCATCACTTCTGTAGTATTCTTGCAAAAAATGTATAACCAGAATTTAGTCTTTTTTTCCCCAAATCCACTCCCATCAAGTCGATTTCAACTACTTTCCACCCTGTAGGACTGAGTGAAGATTTACAGAGCAGATCATCAGTTTCATTTTCTATAAATCATTAATCATATTGTTTCATTACAATGATTGCAGTCTTGAAGAAGCATCATACAAAGCCGTTTTGAAGGACATTCTAAGAAAGAACTGCTTATATGCTTAACCTTGTTGTTGTTACGTGCCGTCGAGTTGGTTCCGACCCATAGCGACCCTGTACAGGGTTTCCGAGGGTGTAAATCCTTACGGGAGTAGAAAGCCTAATCTTTCTCCCGCGGAGCAGCTGGTAGTTTCGAACCGCTGACCTTTAGGTTCGCAGCCCGATTCGTAACCACTACGCTACCAGAGCTCCTTCCTAGTTGTGAAAAACAAAGAAAAATCAAACCGCATGCCCCTGATTTTTGACTCATGGCAGTCCCAGGTGTTTTAGAGTTGAACTGCTCTCCATAGGGCTTTCAGTTAAGGTTACGTCCCAGGGAGCCCTCCGGGGTAGTTCTGTTCTGTCACATGGTAAGTGCCTTTGGTTCTGACTTCTGAGGAACAGCTGGTGGGTTTGAACTGCTGACCTTGAGGTTAAAACTAACCCTGCGGTTCAGTGCTTATCCTATAGCACCACACCAGGACTTAGAGAACTGTGGAGACTGAATCTACTTGATAGCACATAACTGCAGCATAATCTTTTATTTATTTATTTATTTCAATGTTTTATTGTGAACTATGTGATAGTTTACATGGGAGAACAGTAGTTTTACATTCAGCCTATCGTATATCATTTCATCAGCATAATCTTTTAGCAGTAAATTGCCAGCCCTTTTTTTCCAAGATGCTTCTGGGTGGATTTGAGCTGTGAACTTTTTGTTTGGCAGCCAAGTATTTCACAGTTTGTGCCACCCAGGGCTGTCCCAGATTAAACAAGATTGAGGAAAAGTGAAGAATGCAATGTGTGATGCTGGATTTACAAAACTGTTATAAAAATAATGCAAAATACTCTTTACCCAACTTCCCCAAGTTATCATAAATAATCTCAGCAAAATTATCAGAGGCAGGAAACGAACACTTATACAATACTAGTTACTAATCGGTGTTTTGTTCCTGATGTAGTGCTGTGTGTTAATGCGCTGGATTGCAAAATCAGTTTGAACCACTAGGTGGGCCATTCAAACTCTCCATCCACTCCTTGGAAACCCTATTCAGGGTTGCTGTGGGTTGGAACCGACTGGACAGCACACAACAGTGGTACAATTGGAGTTCTGGTTAGGTGCCATAGGATAAGCACTCCACCTCAAGGTCTGTTTGAACTGCAAGGTCAGTGGTTCAAACACTTAACACTTAACAACAACAATAGTGGCAAAATTAGTGAAATTTAAATAACTAGACTTAGTGCTAACTACAAGGTTGGTGGTTCAAACCCATGAGTTGCTCCTTAGAAATCCTGCACAGGGTCGCTTTGAATTGGAATTGACTCATTGGTACTTAAAGACATAGATTGTTGTTGCTAAGTGCCATTGAGTTGGTTCCAACCTATAGTGAACCCTATATAGGGTTTCCAAGGAGTGGCTGGCGAGCTTGAACCACCAGCCAACTAGTCAAATTGACTAGTTTTGTAGAAATGTTCATTTCCTGTCTCTGATAATTTTACTGAGATTATTGATAACTTGGGGAAATTGTGTAAAGAGTATATGGGAGTTTTTTTGTATTGTTTTTACAACAGTTTTGTAAGTCAAATTATGTTTAAAATGGAAATTAAGAAATAATAAAGAGGAAAAACCCAAGTATGTTGAGGATTAAATAAGGTACTGGTTTTTGGTGACATTTTCTGTGCTCTGTTTTTTGCTTTTGGCTTGTCATTCTTAAAGCAGAAATGAAATTGAAAGTTCACACTTCTTCCTTTGTGATATTTTTTAGGAAAAGCTAAAGATGGCTGACTTTCTAGATGACCCAAGCACACAACTGTGTGACAACTGGTAAGAAATTACATTTGAGAAATGTTATTGGAATGCGTTTTTTTTTGTGTGTTGACAGTTTAAAATTGTAGCCTTATTGTGCACATATTTTTAGGAATTTGGGGTACACTGCCTTGCTTGTTTTGGTAATTTTGACAACATGGTTGATTTAAAGCAACATAGAGTAGGAACGAGAGATGAAATGAACCCGGAGTCAGGATCTGATTCTTGTTCGTACTTAGCTCATCACTTTTAGCATTTAATGCCTGCTTTGAGAGCCTCACTTTTGTGAGATCTAGAGAGTGTGCCACCGTTTCAAAAAGCAGCATACATTTTGGGTATGGAAGGGAGTCATGACAGCTTCACAGATGAGGATTTCTATCTGGAACAAAATGTCTCCATTTGTATTATATTCTGCTTCTCAGATCATACATTAAAAAACAAAAAACTACTAAAGATGAAATAAAATGTAATGTTGGAGAAGATCATTCTTCTTCAAAGTATAAGTAGTTCCTGATGTATGACAAACCACACTTATTACTGTCCCTATCATTAAATGGTTATGGTGTGGCACTGGTAAGCACTGGACTGCAAGGTCAGTTTGAACCTCAAGGTTGGTGGTTTAAACCTATCAGCTACTCCTCAGAAACCTAATACAGGGTTAGTATAAGTCAGAAGTGACTCGACAGCGGGTAACAACAACAACATCAGTAGTGAGGTAGTTTACATCTCTTAGTCTCAGATGTTGAGTCACAGATGTTTGACTTTATAGTGTACAGTTTAAAACACTGTCATATTTATAAAGTTACTGACAAGACATTTCCTGCATGGCCACAGTTGCTGTCTTGGGGTTGATTAGCAATTGTTGTTGTTGTTGCTCGGTGCCATCCAGTCGGTACCAACCCATAGTGACCTTATGCACAGCAGAACGATAGTTCAAGGGAAGGCAGTTGGACCAAAGAAACTGTTTTACCCTTTTATAAAGGATTTTGTTTAAGGAATATTCCTATGTTTTTCAAAAAAAGGGAAGGTGTGTGTGTGGGGATCTAATTGAACTTGTAAAGCATTCTAGCTATATTATTTTAAGATTCCAACCCTGTAAGTGAATGCTTGGGTACAGTCTTGAATATAAGTCTTTCTGTTTCAGTGTTTTTAACCCACAGGAAAAACAACTCATTTTTCCTGCTAAAATGAAACCTAGCAATTAGTAATTAGCTGATTCCTGGTGGGGATTTCCCAAGATTTTGTCTTTACTTTGGTGATAAGCAAGGGCTTTTATTGAAAGTTTAAAAAAAACAAACAAAGCAGAACTGCCTTGCTATATTTAGCTTACCAAAATGGGATGTGGCATAATGAAACTAGTTCAACTTAGATTAGAGAAAGGTTCAAACCAGGTAGGAATTGTTTTATTATTTCTGCTGCATTTTTTTTTTTTTCTGCCCAGGCTCACTTTCAGCTGAATTAGAATATAATTAGAGCAACTGCATAAAATCAAGATTTAATTTCCCTGAGGAAGTTTTGCCATGTCTTTCTAATGTGCCATTTTCTGCCAGTTCATAAACTATTCTGGCTTCGTTTACAAAATGATCAGTAAAACAATCACAATTATTGTGATTTTATTAAGGAAACTGGAATTATGGGTTTAGTATTTGTTAAGATCATGTTTGGTAAGGTTGAGGGTCAGACAACAAGAGGAAGACCCCCAGCAAGATGGATTGGCAGAGTGGTAGCATCAATGGGCTCAAGCATGGCAACAGTTGTGAGGTTGGCCCAGGACTGGGCAGTGTTTCCTTATGTTGTGCATAGGGTCGCTATGAATGGTACCCACTCGATGGCACCTAACTACAACAAATTTGTTAAGATGTTCTTTTATATTCCTTTTTGTGAATTGGGTGACAGTTTACAGAGCAGATCAGCTTTCCATTAAAATAAACATACATGTTTTGTTTCCTCTATTGACTACAGTCCCCACAATGAAGCATCTCTTACCCCACTTCCCTGTGTTTCCAGTTTCCATTTCTCCTCCTTCCCTAGCTCTTCTAAACTTCGTCTTTGGATAACTGCTGCCCTTTTGATCTCAAATGGCTTATTCTTCTAAGGAGTGCTTACCTCCCTAGTGTTACTGTTCCTTTTATGTTGTTGTTAAATGCCATTGGTTGTGACCCTGTATAAGGTTTCCAAGGAATGGTTGGTAGGTTTGAACCACTGACCTTGTAGTTCAAACTGACCTTGCGATCCGGTGTATTATCCTTCAGCGTCACACCAAGACTTTTTATAGGCTCACCTATTTTTTTCATGACGGTGAGATCATTTCTAGACCTGAAAGGTGGCTATGGGCCATATTCTCAGGAGTTCCTCCAGTGTCTATCCCCAGTAAGCCTGGCCTTATTAGGATTGTTGGTTTTCCTTTACATTTTTGCCTTCTCAGAGCAGTCGGTAGTGGTAGCAGGGCATCATCTAGTTCTTCAGTTTCAAGCCTTTGCCTTCTGCCGGGGACATCCTATTCCCCACTGTCCGAAGTCCTATGAATCTGCCAACATCCCTCAATGTGACCTTCCTTCCAGATGCCCCCACATGGAGACCATTAGTCCATACATCTTTGGTTTTCATCGTTTTTTCCTCCTGAGAGGGAGAGACCAGTAGTTGTACCTTAAATGGCCGTTTATGACCCCAGTCACTACTCACCAAAGTAGGATATATAAAAAATTGTCCTTGTGGACTATGTTTTGCCAGTTGACCTGTTGTCCCATTAAACTGGTTCTGAGCCCCAGGCCTAGCAACTCATTCCCTCAAAGTGTATGTTTGGTTGTGTCTAAGAAGTTTACATAACTTTGCCTTTTGTATTCTCTTCCACACTAATGGATGATATTTGCAGCAAAGATAAATAACCCATGTGCAAATATCCTCTCTATATATTTGTACATATACTTCCACCCTGGGGAGTGTGGTGACGCTACAATAAACAATGAACTTTGAACCACAAGGTAGGTGGTTTGAGCCCACCAGTCACTCCGTGAAAGAAACATGAGGCTTTCTGTTCTTGCAAAGATTTATAGCCGCAGAAACTTTATATAGGGCTGCGATGAGTCGGTACTGACTTGGCAGCACTTGACAACATCATACTCCCACTCTCTCTCCCACACTCATTCAGCCTGATATATTCTTATTTTTTATTAGTCCAATTTTTGAAGGACTATCAAACCTAAGACAATATATAAGTAAATAACTGCTGAGGAAGTTTAATAATGATGAGTTAATGAAAACAAGGTTATTGAAAGCCAAAGTTTTGCAAAAGGAAACACTGTATGAGACCACTATAAGAAAAAGCCAAGAAAAGGTTTTCACCCTAAGAGAAACCTTTGATTGTTAACCAGAGGTGGAAAGGAAAAGGAAGATAAATTATTAACTAGAGGGCAGACACATTAACTTGGGTAAGCAGGAGGTCAGCAAAAAATTGAAGGCAAAGGAAAACACTAGGAGAGAGCATAGTATAAGAGTTAAAGGCTACAGAGGTAAATACTGTTTTATACACAGTCCTGCAATAATGGTAATCTCCTAGTGGCTTCATAGATAAGCAAGCAAGCTGAACAGGTGTGGGAAGGAGAATGAGATTTGACAGGGTATGTTTGTACATGGGTGTTTACCTTTCTTTTAAGTTTATTTATGAATATAGTAGAGCATGCATTATGTGAAATTATGAAAACTTACTTAGCTGTAATCAAACCTCAAGGGAGTGTATCACTGGGCTTGGGAGTTCAGAGCCACACTTTCAGAGGACACCAAAGGCAGTTAGCATAACAGTCTACAAAAAACAATGTTCTATATCCTACTTAGATGAATAGTGACTGGGGACATAAAAGCTTGTGAATGGCTGCCTAAGGTGCAACTATTGGTCTTTTCCCATCTGGAACAAAGAAAAGTGAAGAACATCTAAGATACATGGAAATAATTAATTCAGTGGATTAATGGACCACTCATCAGCCTCCAAGACCAAAAGATCTGAGAGAAGGTCCTGTGAAATGAATAGATGTGGCATGAATGAACTCCAGGCTTACTGGTTGGAGTACTGTGGTTCTGTAGGATAAGTACTAGGCTGCTAACCACAGGTAGGCAGTTCGAGCCCACCAGCTGCTCTGAGGGGAAAGATGAGACTTTGTACTCCTGCAAAGATTTATGGCCTAGAAAACCCTATATGGGGTTGCTATGTGTTGGAACCTACTCAACTGCACTTCAGTGATCGGATAGATGCATTGAACCCCGAGGCTATGGCCTTTAGTCACCCTTAGAACTAAACTCACCTTCATGGCATAATTTTCAGCAAAACTGTAGGTATAAACACGAACAGTAACACTAGTGAGGTACACACTCCATAGAATGTTTAACCGTTGGTGATCAAATGGGTAGTATTTATCCAAGGACAAAGTTGAGAAGGGTTAGGAAAGAAGGAATGGAAACAGGAAACACAGGGAGGAAGTAGATAAGTATGTTACACTGTAGACATTGCACAATAAAAAATTAAAAAAAAAAATTATGAAAAGCTAATGAAGGAATGTTATTCATTCTAAAGCAATTTATATAAAGGAAAAAAATCCTGTAGATTATAGCATATAGACCAATACAGACATTCTAAGTAACCATGTTTAAAATCTAGGTGTTAAAATGTCTCTCCCTATTGTTCCCTAAGAAAAAGCTAAGGTGATTGAGGATCCTTGGGGACCTGTTGTTTCTGTTTTCTTATGGTGGTGAGTGAGGGTAAAATGGAAATGGAAGGTTCAGTGTAAGAAGGCAGGAATAAAGAATTGGTTTACATATTACTAATAAGTTATGGGGGGAGAAGAGGGACCTCATCATTAAGTGCAGGTTGTTATAATTCAAATATTTTGTAAGTTGGGAACTACTTGTATCTAAAAAGAAAAAATGTAGCAGACATCTGTTTCATATGATTGAAACAGTGATGATTGGGTATACTAGTTTCACTATATCGTCAACAGAATTTAATAAATTTAAATTTGAGTTAATAGTTTTAAGTTGGCAGTTGATTTTAGATCATATATGTATGTATACATATGCATATGAAAGCTGGACAGTGAATAAGGAAGATTGTAGGAGAATGTATGCATTTGAGTTATGGTGTTGGAGGAGAATATTGAAAGTGCCATGAGCTGCCAAAAGAACCAACAGATCTGTGTTGGAAGAACTGTAGCTAGAGTGCTCCTTGGAGGCCAAGATTCCCAAACTTCGTCTCTCATACTTTGGACATATTGTTAGAAGGGACCAGTCGCTGGAAAAGGATATCATGTGTGGTAAGGTGAAGGGACAGAGAAAAAGAGGAAGACCCCCAGCGAAATGGATTGACAAAGAGGCAGCATCAATGGATTCAAGCGTGTTAACAATAGTGAGGTTGGCCCAGGATCAGGCAGTGTTTCGTTCTGTTGTGCATAGGGTCGCTATGAGTTGGCACCTAACAACAACAATATGTATGTATAAATATATATGGAGAGAGAGTGTGTGTGAGTGAGTCATGGCGTTGTGGGTTAATGTGCTGGACCACAAGGTTGGTTTGAACCGCAGGGTGAACCACAAGGTCGGTTTGAACCGCAGGGTGAACCACAAGGTCGGCAGTTCAAGCTCACCAGCTGCTCTGCAGAGATCTTATACAGAGTCACTATGAATTGGAACCGACTTGACAACACTAAACAACTGTTGCACTTTAAGATAACCAAGCAGAGACCATGTTCCTGACTACTCAGGCTGTTTTGTAAGACATATAAGACATGGAAGAGACATCTGTTCCTGTTAGTTTTTTTTTTCATTTGTCTTTGTAGAATAAAATCCAGTGAGATTAAACTACTTAAAAGAGTGAAAATAAATGATAGTTTGTTTTGTTTATATGTTGTGCTTTAGAGCATGGATAGTTCTGGAAATGCCTGACAAGCCCCTGACAGCTGACTTTGTTGTTGGGTGTACTCAGTTCTGGCGAGAAAGTAAGAAAGTAGAAAGTAAGGCTCAGCTGTTAGAGGAGGTGCCTAGCACTAGGAGTTCAGCATTACATAGGAGTTTCAAAACCTTTAGGGTTTATTTGCTTTTCTTGAAAAGCAGAGGTAACAGTCTGGAGCTTGTAGACTAGATACTCATTAAAGAGAAACTAGGAAAGATGTAGGACAGAATTTTTTGCTATACCATATGTACAAAATGTCAGAAGCCAAAAAGTAATGCTTGCCTTTTTCTTTTGTCCATTTTTGTAGCAAAAAAGAAATTCCTGTGTGTAACTTTACCATCCATGAGATTCACTGTCAAAGGAACATTGGTATATGTCCTATCTGCAAGGAACCATTCCCCAAATGTGACATGGAAACGCACATGGCTGCCGAGCACTGTCAGGTGAAACTTCCAGTACTCAGATGTTCACCCATGTGTTTTACCTGCTGTTGTGCACTAGCATGGGAGCATGTTGTCACAAAATCACTGTGTTGATTCTTACTTCTTACCCTAGGTGACCTGTAGATGTAACAAGAAGTTGGAGAAGAGACAGTTAAAAACACATGAGGTAAGTCACCTGGCATTATGAAAGAGTGACTTACCATGAGACCGGTCCTACTGAGATGACAGTTACATGCAGAATTGAAAGTTGCTTTGTTCAATTCCAACCCATATTCACGTTGCCTCTCAAAGCCTTTTCTACTGCTGCCACATTCGACTCTAGAGCTCTTGTGCCCAATCCTTAGGTCTTAATTATTCCTTTTGCGTCTGTCTCAGTTCTTAACTGAAGGTTTACAGAGCAGATAAGATTTCCTTTCAATAATTCATACACATTTTGTTTCATGTCAATTGATTACAATTCCTAGTGTGTAACATCATTTATTCTACTTTCTCCCTGTGCTTTCTGTTTCCATTCTTCTTTCCTGTCCCTTTTGAACTTTGTCCTTGGGAACATGTTGTATTCTTTTTTAATGTTTTATTGTGAATTATGTGCTAGTTTACATAATTAGCTTTACATTCATCCTATCGTATATTGTTAATTGCCATGGTTACAATCCCCTCCATGCATCTTCAAGTAACCATAGGGTATACTCTACAAGCCTGCCCCCTGCCTCCACCCCCCCCCCCCCCCCCATCGTCAACACACAGCCCCTCTCCCTCTCTGAGTCTAAAGTCCCCAGTCACTCCATCTCTCCATGTCATTGTTTCGGCCTCTATTTCTGGCATCACTGCTTCTCTGGGTAGGGTTCCGCTCTCCACTCTTCTCCCTTGATCGTCCCAGGGACTTCTGCTCCTAGACTACAAAGTCAGTCACTCCTCTACTTTTGCTACAAAACATCTACCTTTACATTCAGCAAATCAAATACCTTGTTTTATCTCCATATTTACAGTCCCCTCCATGCAACAGCAGTTGTCCTTCCTCCTGTGGTTCCTATTTGCATTTCACCCCCCTTCTTATTCCTTCTTAACTGTGTCCTTGGTAAATGCTGCCCTTTTGATTTTGAATGATTGACCATTGCATGGTGAGCATACCTTTCTAGTGTTGTTGTCCCCCCCTATAAACCTGTCTACTGCTTGGCTGAAAATAGGGCCACAAGGGTATGTTCCTGTCCAGAACTGAAGGGTGGTTGGGGGCTATAGTCTCAGGTTCTTCCAAGTCTCACTCTGACCACTAAACCCAGTTTTTTAAATTATTATAATTATTAGATAATTTTGAGCTTTCCGCAGTTTTTCCCACTCTATCCAGGACCCTCCAATGTTATCCTTTTCAGAGCAGTTGGTAGGGTAGTGGTAGCTGGGTACCATTTAGTAGTTCTTGTTGTCTCAGAGTTGTGGAGACTGAGGTTCGTTCACAAGTTCAGTTAGTCCATTGGACTAATTAATTCTAAGTGGATCTTATTTCTTGTGGATATATACCAAGTGGAGGAATTGATGGGTCATTCTGTATTTTTGTTCCCAGTTTTTTGAGGAAGCACCATGCCATTTTCTATTCCACCATTTTACAGTCCAACCAGCAGTGTATGGGGATTCCAGTCTCTCCACACCTTTGCCAGAATTTGTTGTTTTCAGAAATTTATTTCACAGGTCTGTGGACCAGGAGTCTGAATCCCGAGTGTTAGCAGAGGTATTTTCTCCGTGAAGACTAAGGGCAGATCCCTTTTGGAAGCTCCAAACTTCTAGTATAGCACTAAATGTCCTTTGACTTGCAGCTGTAACGTAACTCCAACTCTGTCTCTGTTACCCAGTGTTTTTCCCTCTGTGTGTTCCTTCTCTTATAGAATACCACTCAGATTGAATTAGAACCACCCTACTCCTGTAACCTGTGTTAACTGATAAACACTTTGAAGACTCTTTACTTCCAAATGAGGTGACAGGTTCCATTCACAGGGCCCAGGGGCTGGGACTTCAATATATCTTTTTGTGGGTGGACATAATTTAATCTGTAAGAGTAAATGCCCAATCCTTTAAAAAAACACCAACAAAAAAAAACTATTGTGAATTGAGTGAAAGTTGACAGAGTAGATCATCAGTTTTACATTCAGCAAACCAGAAATTTAATTTCATTGCAATGATTGTAATTCCCTCCATGTACTATCCATTAAAGGAGCTCTGGTAGTGTAGTGGTTACAAATCGGGCTGCGAACCGCAAGCTCAGCAGTTCGAAACTATCAGCTGCTCCATGGGAGAAAGAGGAGGCTTTCTGCTCCTATAAAGATTTACAGCCTCAGAAACCCTGTACAGGGTCGCTATGAGTTGGAACCGACTCCTCGGCACATAACCAGCCAACTAACTATCCATTAAGTCTATTCACTTACTCTTGCACTCCTCCTTATGTCTTCGGTTACCTTCATCTTTCCTTTGCCAATTGCTGTTAATGCTGAGGTGTGATGATATCTCTTGTTTTGATTTGCATCTCCTCGAGGCAACAACAGCTGTAGTCCGCGGTTCAAGCTCACCAGCCACTCTGCGGGGAAAAAAGAGGCTTTCTGCTCCTGCAACGATTTACAGCCTCGGAAACCTTGTATAAGGTTACTGTGAGGTGGAACCGATTCTAGCACTTAACAACAACTTAAGATTAGTTAGAATATTAAATGGTGGGATTGTTTGATCTTTTGCTGCTGAGTAATTAAAACAGTATTTTATTTTCTGTTAAAATTTTTCTTTCTGACTTATTGTTATGTCAACCTGGCATAATTATTTAAAGCCATAGAATATGTGAAAAATGTCTCTCCTCCAGTTATCCAGGCACTTTTTGTGAGTTGCTTGCGTTTTCCGCAAAAGATACTCTATGCATACACAAACAGTGCTAAAAAAAAAAAATGTGAGTTAGCATTTGGAATAGAACTTGGATTTAATTAGTATGAAAAGGAAGTTTTGCAGTTTGTCACAGTGGTTGTAAAGTTACCTGGTTTTTAAAAATCTTATTGTGAGTTGAGTGAAGGTTTAGAGAGCAGATCATCAGTTTGACACTCAGCACATCATATACTTTGCTTCATTACAATGACTGTATGCAGTCCCCTCCATGTACCATCAGTTAGCAGTATTTACCTCCATTCCTCTAACTCTTGCACTACTTCCTGTGTCTCCTGCTACCTTCATCTTTCCTTTGCCAATCTCTCTCTTGTATACTGCCTGCACACATTAACATGTGCCTACCCTCTAGCCCACGAATAGTTCCTCTCCACTATCGTTAACCATCATAGTCTGTTTCTTTTTTTTTAGACCATTTCTTTTATCAAGAAAAACCTTTAACTTTTTACAATATTTGGTCTCAGATGAAATGGTGTTACAAGAAAATTCTAAATGTTAGCTCACAGAGTTTGAAATATACACAATCATAGTATATATTCCTTTATATCTTCTTAATGCTTTAATGACATTATCAAAATAAGCACTAAAGTTTTGTCCTTTATCTGCTGAGTACATTTACATTCTCAGGATTCCTGTCTTGGTCATTTGAAAGCCAGTGCTGTCTACCAACATGCAGATTAGAAAAGTCCGTGTGCTTTGTATTTCCTGTCTCTTCCTGCCTATGAGTTTTTAAAGACTGACTTCGAGTCTTGAGGGGCACTTTCATAAAAATATTTGAGCTGCTAGTTTTCTTGACATTTGCTCCTGAGCTGCTATGGTTTGTTATGGGTGCTCAGTCAGGGTGACTGCGTAGATTCCTTTTGAAAAGTTTCCTTCCCTTTGTACAACGTTGTGACAGGACAAAAGGGGAAGCCATGACTCTTCAATTTATAGAAAACCATGGCAGGTGAAGCTAGGGTTGGAGGAAAATACTGAAACAGCAGCTTTTTGCTTTACTTGCCTTGTAGTGATACCCGGTGTCTCGCCGACCCACATACTAACTGGCCCCTTCCTCTGTGTGCAGGAGACTGAGTGCCCTCTGCGCCCTGCCCTCTGCCAGCACTGTGATTTGGAACTTTCCGTTCTCAAACTGAAGGAGCATGAAGATTACTGTGGGGCCCGGACAGAGCTGTGTGGCAACTGTGGGCGTAATGTCCTGGTGAAGGATCTGAAGACACACCCTGAAGTTTGTGGAAGAGAAGCACAGGAGAAGAGAGATGCAGTTGCCTTGCCTCCTAATGCCAATAATGAACCATGGAGTCAAGAGGGAATGTGGATCGCCTCCCATCTTCTCAGACAGATTGAGGCTCTGGACCCACCTATGAGGCTGCCCCGGAGGCACATGAGAGCCTTTGAATCAGACCTTTTGCATAGTAGGACTGCCAGCCACAGGAACATGGCAACCCAGTTTCCAATTCAAAATAATCTGTGTGAGTTGTGTTTGGGATGGTATCAGAATCTGAGGTTGAAGAACAGGATGTTGGGCCCAGATTTTGATTATGAAACCTGAATGTAGCTGGATAACCTTGGGACATGTACCTAACTGTCTATAAAATGGGTCTAACAGGACCTCTCATTATTGGATTACAGTTAGGGTTAATAATAATGATGGTGGTGCCATTGCTATTAATAGCTAACATTTGAGTATATGCCAAAGGTATACATGCATGTATCAAACCCTTCCAGTAGTCTTAATGAGGTGTAGGTACTACCTTATTTTACAGATCAGGAAACTGAGACATTGAATAACTAAGAAACTTGCCACATAGCTAATAAATGGTGTGGTTAGGTGCTGTCAAGTAAGCTCTGAGTCTTAGCAGCACCTTGTATGAGGTTTTCAAGGAGCAGGTGGTCAGTTTGAACTACTGACCTTTTGCTTTGCAGTTCAGTGCTTATCCTACAGTGCCACACCAGGAACCTGTCACATAGTTATGGCATAGTAATATTGCTTGTTATTACAGCCATACAATTAGAACGATAATGGAACTGTTTCTCATTGCAGACTTGATGCTTTTGAAGTGCTATAGAAACTGGAGGGCCATGGGTGCTGGCAGAGCTGGGCCTCTTGTTCCTGCCCAGACACTTATAATTCCTTAATATTGCTAGACGTGGTTACAGGCTGGCGACATCTCAAATGTATCTTGAGTGTTGGTTTTTTGTGTTTTTCCAGTTGAAGAACAAGAAAGGCAGGAGAGGAATAGAGGCCGCCAGCCTGTCAAAGAAGGTGGTGAAGATAGTGCCAACTTGGACTTCATGTTGGCCTTAAGTCTTCAAAATGAGGGCCAGGCCCCCCACATGGCAGAACAGAACTTCTGGAGGGCTGTCTGTGAGGCTGACCAGTCCCACGGACCACACAGTGCAGCACTGGCCTCAGGTCTCTTCACTCATATTTTCTATTTCTTTGTCACTTTGTGCTAATTTCTAGTTCACTGAGTCTCTCCTTAGCTATTTCTAATCTGTTTAATATATCCTTTGAGGTTTTTACTTCAGTATTAAGTTCATTTGGGACTCAATTTGGTTCTTACCTTTTTTAAAAGTTTTTTGATCTTTTGTCATATATTAGTCCCTCTTTAACATTTCTTTACACATTAAATATACATATATTTCGTTTGTGTCTGCTAACACCAATATTTTTTGTTGTGTCTGGTACCCTCACTTTTGGTGACTTGCTACCGTGTGTGTGTGTGTGTGTGTTCCTTGTTTTGGTGTAGTCTTCTGCCTGATAAGTTGAAGTTTGTGGCAAGGGTTTTTTTAAAAAAACATATATGTGAATTTATGTAAAAATGTAGATGCAAAAATGTAAATGTGGATTATGACCTCTGACCCATGTAACTATCAAGTTGTAATAATTGAACCTTAGGAGAAATGTCTCTTCCTTCTTTCCAGAGCTAAGACTCCTTCCTCCCACTCTTTACCCACACTCATGTGTTCAACAGCCTTATTATTTTGGGAATCCTGGGTTTAAAATGACTTTTGACTTTTATTTGCTCACTTTCAGAATATTTGTCTGCCAGAAATGAATGAGGCTCAGTTTCTTCTGTGAGATGATAAAGCACCATAGGCTCTACCTCAGTGTGTTTGTCCTGGGGATTGAAAGCTCTTAGATTACCGCCTTGAATTATTGCCCATACAAACCTCGTCTTTAGAGTAGCAGGGAAACTCTACTGCTACTCAGGAAATCCCTTTGAGGATTTCCAGCCCCACAAATGGAATGTCAAAGGCACTGGAAGTCTATAAATCCCATGCATGGAATGAAAGGTTGAAATGAAATTGTGATTATTTTGGAGTCTGATAGTGTGACCTGATGACCTAGGTGCAGCTGGCGAGACCATGTTACCTTGTGAATTTTGTGAGGAGCTGTACCCAGAGGAACTGCTAATTGACCACCAGGTGAGTTGTGTGCTTTTGTAAAGGATCTGCAGGCTGTAGCGCAGGTGACTACGGCTGTGTGAGTTGTGAGCAAACTGGTGTGTATCCAGTACCAGTGATTGGAGAAGGAAATGTGCTTTTACCATGGCCTGACTTACGGTGGGCATGCGAACTCAGCCTTGTTCTCTAGCAGAACAGCGCTCACCCCAGCAGCAGGCCTAGCTGCTCCATGCTCGTGTCCATCTCCACTGACCCTCGGGGCTGGACCCCTCACATGCTGTGATCTCGTTGTAGTTCTCTGGGAGGGTCAAAGGTCGGTTTTTTCCATGACACTTTCTTGGCTTAGAATATGTGTGGCCTTCTGCCCTGCCCCCTCACTACATCCAACAACATACACCTCTTCCTGAGAGACTGATGGCCTACTCAGGGGTGCCACTTCTGTTCCCCGCAAATCCTGTCCCTTTTAGTCCCTCTCCCAATGTTAAGCATTATTGAAACTTTGTGAATTCTTGTAGAATTCAGAATGTGTTTTTCTCTTTTAACCTGGTTTTGATTTCCTGACTTTCTCTACCTGTGCTTTTTGAATGGCAGACAAGCTGTAACCCTTCATGTGCCTTACCTCCGCTCACTACGGGCCGCTCTTCCCCTAAAGTGGTGGAGGAACCTGGTATTTTCCACAAGTTTTTGCAGCAGACTAACAACTTAGAGTCTTTGATGGGTCTGACCAGCTCGCCCCCTGTGGAGGACAGCATCATCATCCCGTGTGAATTCTGTGGGGTACAGCTGGAAGAGGAGGTGCTGTTCCATCACCAGGTAGAGTCCTGAAGGCTGTGTACTTGACCACATGCTGGCTCCCTGAGGCTCTCGGAGCCCAGAATGCTTCCTTAACCACTAAGTTGCATTACCGCCTGAACAGGATGCCACACACTGGCTTTTGCCCAGGCCCTGTTGTGTGAGCTGACTGGGGTGTACGTTCCTCAGACTCCCAGGCTGAAACTACGCTCTGTGCTGAAACTGTCATAGCACTGGGCTGAGGACCGAGGAATCAGGACTCCATTTAAGGCGTTCGGGAATGCAGCGGGTTAGACTGTCCCTGATGTTACTGCCCAGCATCTGGCGGGTTCTCATTGTGATTGCATGTTTTAGGTCCAGTCCTATCCCCTCACTGGGGCATCCGTAAATGAGAGAGCTGGACTAGATGATTTGCAAATGTTTTATAAACTAGGATTCTAAATCGGGAATGGCACATAACATTATCTGCACAGTCTTGTTTGCTAGGGGGAACTAACACCACAGTCATGTTCAGGGTCATTTCTAAGGTTGGTGCCATGTTTCTCTTGGAACAGCTCATTTCTGTCAGCAACTGCTTGTGTCCTAGAGGAGACTATGGAATTAGCAACCATGCAAATACTTTCTGGTTAAAGCAAAGAAAGGATTTTTTGGGCTCCTAAGACCAGCCCTTCCTTTATCTCTGCTCAGATCAGAAAGTACAGCTGTCAGAGTCCTAAGTGTTAAAGGGGCTGTTGCTCTGTTCCAGATCTGTGCTTCCCCACAGAGGTGTCACAGTTGTCTTCAAGTAAGGAACGAGTGTCCACTCAACCTGTTTTTCTTGCCTGCTCTCTTCTAGGACTGGCTCAGTCCACTGGTACTAATTCTGGGTTTTCTTGTCAGGACCAGTGTGACCAACGCCCAGCCACTGCAAACAACCACATGACAGAGGGTTTTCCCAGACAGGATTCCTGGCCTCGTGAGACCTCACCAGAGCTGCCCAGGAGGAGTGTCAGACACCAGGGTATTAGCCAAGGCCAAACCCTGATTGCAGGTCCACTGCTGGCTCGGACTTATTTTACTGACCGGTTCTCATCTGCTTCTTCATGGGTGTTACCCAAATGGTCAAGTCCACTAAGTCTCATGGGCACTGGTGGTGGTCCACATTAAGCGCTAGGCTGACAGACTGGGTTTATAGCAGGGGTGGGGGAACGTCTGGCCCACAGGCTGAAATTTGATCTGGCCCTGCCCAGGCCACGGCAGTTCTAGCCATCACATGGTGAGTTAATTAAATGCTTGACCAAATACAGCAGGCTAATTTTTAAGCTGTTAATTTTGTATGGCCTGTGAATCATGTTACAAATTTTGGCAGAAAAATGTTCCCCATCTCTCATTCTGGTGTGGTGCTGTAGGCTAAGCATTCAACCCAAGGTTGGTGATTCAAACTCACTAGCCACTCCTTGGAAACCCTATACAGGGTTGCTATGGGTCAGAAGTGACTTGACTGCCCTTCACAATAGCACCAGCCCTGGTTTATAGAGTAATGGCGTTGGGATCAATTATGGGACAAACTTGGTAGCTGGTGCTCATTCTGCTCTGGCTCTTCTATTTGTGTACTTAGTGGGTTATGGAGAGGAGCTGCAGACCTCTGCTCCTAGTTGATAGCGTGAGACCCGTTGATAAGAGATGGAACTTGATATGACTGCCTTGCTTTTCCAAGTCTCACAAGTTTGCTGCCTTTGACAGGGTGCAGTCTGACCACTTTTCTATTGCTCCCTACTAACAAAGGTTCCTGCCTTACACAGGTTGTGGCTTCCACAGGTTATACTGTAGGTGCTTGGGGTTATTGTTTAATGCTGTTGAGTCCATTCCAACCCATAGCGACCCTGTGTAGGGTTTCCAAGGAGTGGCTGGTGAGCTTGAACCACCCACCTTGCAGTTCAAACGACTTTGCAGTCTAGCACATTAACCCACAGTGCCACACCTAGACAAACATATTGCTTAACAGCCTTATCCTTACAACTAGGCAAATAAATCATGTAAGGCCTAGTCACCAGAAAGCCCACTAGAGGTCCTTTTTCGGAATTTGCTTGTACGCTGTTGGTCCCCAACTTGAGTTTTGAACAGTGAGGAGGCTGTATTTGAGGCCTGAGGTAATCAGTGTGCAGAGTGGACAAATGTCCCCAGCTCTGTCCTGGAAATATAGGTTCTTCTGTTCAGTGTGGTGGTGTCCCTGCCCTGAGTCCAGCACTGATAGAAAAGCAGGCATTTCCCTTGAAGCTCCTACTCTTTCCGCAGGAGACCTAGCTGCCGGATTCTTGGATGACATCAAGCAAGAAACAGCTAAAGGGTCGACCTACCCTCTGCCCCCCAACAGACCTATGAACCATATGACAACTACCTATAACCGACTGTCTAAGTCTACACCAGGCCCCAGGCCTGGGTGCCAGCCTAGCCCTCCTCGAGTATTGAAACTCAACAACTCAACCAGCCAGGACATTCGGGGACAGAATCGCAGCAATCAGAATGGGGCTGTAGGCACTGGGCACGTTTCAGTGATTCATCCTGTTCGAAACCTCTTCCCAGAAACCCTTGTGCCATCCTTCGCCCGTGGGCCTGCAGGGAGATATGGAGCTAGGTAAGAATCAGCAGTCTGGGAATGGAGCTGGGAGCAGCAAGATGTGTGCAAAAGGTCTGTGGTCACTATTTTGTGTTCCCCTTTGAGTTTCCAACCTGTGTCAGGTTGGAACTGACACAGGGTCAGGGTCATCTTAGGAACTATTTCCAACCCTTTTCTTGCAGTGGTAGGAGTGAAGGTGGCCGGAACTCCCGGGTCACTCCCCCAGCCACCAACTACCGTAATAGAACTGCAAAGGTAAGCGGGACCCAGCCCCTAGTGCATACTGAGGACTTGTAATGCATATTGAAGGGCCCAAAAGTGGGCTGAGTCATGTGGTTTTTGAAGTCAGGAAGATGGGGGTCAGGCTGGCTCCTGGCTAAGAGCCCTGGACTGTGTTCTTGGCTTTTGATGAGGTTTCTGTAAGAGCTTGACATTTTTAGGGCTCTAGGGGAAGAGTGAGGGAGCCCTGGTGTTATGGTAGTTAAGCACTCAGCAGTTATCAGTTTAACTCACTAGCCTGGGACATGAGGTGGTCTGCTTCTGCACAGAATCCTATGGGGCAGTTCTTCTCTGTCCTGTAGGGTTGCTGTGAGTTGGAATTGACTCTTTGGCAATGAGTTAGGTCACTAGTACTGCTCTTGTACCTTTTACTGCAAATTCAGTTGGTATCCTGTTTTTACACAGGCCAAAAGCCCCAAACAGCAGGGAGCTGGGGATGCTGAGGAAGAGGAGGAGGAATAACAGCACCTCCCAAGAACCTCCCCGAGGCTCCTGCCTTCTGAGCACAGCAGCACTGGCTGCAGAGCAGGCCCTGCCTCTCCGGCCACAGGAGACTACGCATTTTAACCTTTTCTAGGTTGTGGCCATTTTATGTCTTTTGAGATTGTGCTTTGGGAGTTTAGGGATTTGAGGGGTGGGGGGAGACTCTTGAAAATGTTACAGCCTTAGCTGTCACCTTTTGGCAGCAGTTAACATCCTTGGCTCACCAGGGCTCCGCCTTCTGACGTGTTGTCACCACTGCTGCTTGGTGCTGTGGAGCCTTGTGAGTGGCAGCTAAGGTTCTGGAAGCCTGAGACCCACCAGTGAAGGGATGTTCTTCACTGTGGTGGCCTTGGGCCTCTGGGATGTGGCGGGGAGGGAGTTGGCGGGGAGGGAGTTCGGCAGTGTTCAGGCCGTTGCAATATGGAGAGAATTGCACTAGAGTTGAGTGGACCAGAGGCTTTTGTTTTTTAAAAAGTGGCTTCCTTGGCATTTGGCATCACTGCCATAGGTTCCTGTCTGGGAGCACAGCTCCATTGTCTTCACTGCCCCCTTGTGGGGAAGGCTGGGTGCTCCTTGTTCCCACCAGACCCTGGCTGGGTTATGTCCTGAGTGGGGCTGAGGCCTTAGCCCCATGGCTGACCCTGCAAACTGAGTCAGCACCCATCTCCTCTTTTTATTTTACTATTACTGTTAATATTCACTTCCTTGTAATGGAAATAAAGTTTGTACTTGGAGTTTAACTGGTTTTGTGATCTCTCCCTTGTGTGCGCTCATGGAATTTATATGTTGCTTTGGTTTGATTTACCCCTTTTTTCTCTTTAAGTTTTATAGTTTTAGCTCTTAAATGTAAGTTTTTGATCCATTTTAAATTAAACTTTTGTACACAATGTGAGTAGTAAGGGTCCAATATATTTTTTGAATGTGGAAATCCAGTTGTCCCAACAACATCATTGATTGAAGATGTGTTTCACCACTTAGCACCCTTGTTGAAAATCCACTGTTCCATATGACTGCCCCATGTATGTCAGACCACACTCTCTGGGTTATTGCTGCTCTGTAGTAAGCTTTGGAATCAGGAACTGTGAATCCTCCAACTTAGTTCTACTTTTATCTAAGGTTGATTACTCTGAGTTCCTTGTAATTAGGCTTTTCCATTTCTAAAAAGTCAGCTGGGATTCTGAGAAGGGATTGTGTTGGATCTCTATGCTGCCATCTTTATATTGTTAAATCTTAACATCCAGGAACAGGAATGTTTTCCCATTTAAAATTACTTTCAACATTTTGTTGTTTTTGAAATATAATTTTGCATTATTCCTTGGTATTTGATTTTTGATATTATGAATGGAATATTCTTGATTTCATTTTTAGATTATCCATTGCAAATAAGTAGAGATACAACTGTCCTTTAGATATTGATCTTGTATCTTGCAACCTTGCTGGATTCATGTATTTTTTTAGTAGATTCTTTTGGATTTTTTGCACACAAAGCTTTTTAAGTGAACATCCAATCCCTGGTTTGCCCAGGTACTTGGGGTCTTCCCTTTCATTATGATGTGATCTTACTCATTTATTCTTCCATCAGCTTCCTCTTTCAGACTGTAGATTGAAATGATAGTTCTCTTAGTTTCAGGAAGACATGGAATATAACCCTTGATTATTTCTAGATTTCCTTGGTTTGGTGTACAAGAAACCTTATATATGCTCTAACATCCCTAGAGAAAGATGCATATAAATGTATCAAGCTTAATGTGGACACATACTGTGAAACTAGCACCCCGATCAAAAGACGTGACTGAGGCACCTGACCCCTCATGCTCTGAGTCGTCTCTGCCCCCAATCTGGGCCAAAGTCAACCACTATCTTGACAGTGGAGAGTTGCTAGGTCATGGATGTGTGAGGACACAGTACCAGACATGTCCTCAAAGTTGATGCAGTTGGCATTCCTCAGTGTGGGCGGATGTGTGAGGACTCTGTTCCCCAGCCATGGGATCCTCTTTCAAGTTCTCCTGGTTGTGGGTAACAATTCTCATTGTGATTGTAATTTGAATTTCTAAGGAATCCTGGTGGTACAGTGGGTTAAACCTTAGACTGCTAATCTCAAGGCCAGTGGTTCAACCCCCCAGACACTCCTCAAGAGATTTGAGATATCTGCTCCAGTCATCACACTTGATAAATGAAAAAGCAGAGGCTTAAGGGGTACAGTGAGGGAATGGATAAGCATAATGGAATCACAATCACTTCAAGGGCAAAGACACCAGAATCATTAGAAACACTTTAATTCCCAACCACTTGGGGGCACTTAAATATCAGAGCCATCCAAGCACGTCAGCCTTTGAGCTTGCTCAGCAAGAGTAGATGATCACACAACTCTGAAGGTAAATCGAAATTAGATGAAGGTTATTTATTGGTGCGACTGTTTCCTGTAGTGAGCTTCCTTTACACAGCGATGGTGTAAATAGCATCAAATTGAATGAAAAGTTTGTTAAATGCAACCATAAATAATTATAATAAATATACATCAAGTACCTTTACAGCACACGTGTTTTAGGGCCAAGGTTGGGATCTGTCTGGATTCAATGTGCTCTCTGGGACAAGCAATCATGTTAGCAGCAGATATCTGACTCACAGCTGTCACCTAATCAAGTGAGGGGCCGACTGAAACGTCCCCAGCCCCTCTTGGGGAGGTAGCTGACAGATTTCCAAGTCCGGTCAAGGGATGGGAGGGAGGGGCTGGCCGGTATCAGAATTTAAGGAGAAAGGGAGGAAAGGCTGCTACTGATAAACCCAAGGTTCTTCATTATGCAGAAATGATGTGCTTCTCCTGCCCACCCCATCAAGGGGGCTGTGGCTTTGGACAGCAGCCAGTTGACCACCTTCCTTCCTAAGCAGGGGTACTGCTCCCGCCTCTCGCCCCCAGAGACGACTCCTGTGCCACAATGAACAGACGCAACAGCACCAGTTCAGCCTAGATTGGTCTTTTTCTTAGGTTGGGAGGTATTTTCTACCATGCTCCTTAATACATTTCCTGTCACTCACAGGTGGGGGGTAGAGTCTCCTGACAGGTCAGGACCACAGCAGAGAAAGGGCCCCATCTCCCCGCTCACCAGTCTTCCAGAGTCTTCTAGACAGCAGGCACTCTGCCCCCACTATTCACAATATCATACAATAAATACAGCAATGCGATTTGGGGAGACTGGCGAAGTCCAAAAAGACAGTGTCCAACGGGATGGCATGTGCTGCTCCGGAACAAAGTACCACTGGATAAGACCGCTTAGGGCCACAAATGCACTGGGCAGTGGGTGAGCTCGAGGCAGCTCAGCCCTGGCACGCACACTTACACGGGCGGGGAGGGGCTACCGGGGGACCTGTACCCATGGGCTGGCCAGAGTCTCCCTCTGGACTGGAAGAGCTGAGCAGCACCTCAGAGAGGGTGTGGACCTTCTGTCCCCATGCAGACACTGTTGTGAGGCAAGGCCTGCTTCTAGGACACAGTGGGACGGGCCTGGCACTTGTGCTCTCCTGCCCAGTGTATGAGAAAAAAGCCCACAACCCCTGGAGCTGGGGGGCATGCAGTCACTTAGATTCCCAAACCATCTCTCTGGTCTTCTGCTCCGGAGGCGAACTCGGTGGAAGACCGGACCAGGGGCCAGAGCAGTTGTGCAGATAGAACTGTCAGTGGAAGGGGGCAGGGGACCCCGGTGGGATTCTCAGGACCACCAAGACCAGGACGATTAACCCATAAACCCACTTGTGTCACATCTGGGTGACTGGGGTAAGCGCTTCTAACAGAAGGAATCCTGTGGAGCCGGCCTTACGGCTTAGATTGTGGACATGCTCTGCAGAAAGAGCCCGCCATCTGTGTGGCCAGGGTCACTTCACCAGCAGCCTCCTGCTTGGTTCTGTGACCAAGAACTAACTGGGCCCCAGCGGTATGAGAACCCAGGGGCCATGAGGGACTGTCCAGGAAGGTCAAATTCGACACAAACTGTCTGGGAACTAAACTATCCTACAAAGATACCACAAACAGGCAGCAAAAGAACCAACCCATCACAAAACGTATGGATACAAAAGGTTAAGTCTTCCAGGAGGCCCTGGAATGTGGACAAAAGTTGAGAAAAGCAAAATGTCTCCAACTCCTCACGCAGGGCCCTGGAGGGACGTGCCCACGTGGCAGGCTCCCCGAGCCATGGAGCTGGTGCCTCGGTGACCACTGACCTCGGGACTGCTGTCATCAGCCACTGAGGGGGTCTTCTCGGTAGTGAATGGCACAACGAAGCTTCTCTAGCATGATTTCCAGAGAGGAGTACTGGGGGAGTTTGATCATGAACATGCAGGTCTCCACTCGGATGTAGCGAGAGTCTGGGGAACCTGTATAATAAAACGTCATGGGGGAAGGGTCAGAGTTGCCAGGAGCCTGGTGGGCAGCTCTAAACTAACAGCAGGGCACATAGGGAGGGCTGAGGGCCTAGCCAGAGATGACTAGAAGGAAAGGACAGTCTCCACCTACTGAACTACACTAGCACCCAGTTGAATCTGGGTGCAGGCAGGTTTTGGGGTCAGCTAAGTAGGGTTTTTATTTATTGCTTTTTATTTTTTTAATAGTTATTTCCCACCTTTAAAAGTGGGGAGATTTAAAATTTTCCACATTCAGCTTTCACTATGTCAACCTGGGCCTGTATTTTTTTTTTTTTTTTTTCCAACTTGCTATTGTGAACAGGGCAGATCAGTTTTCCACTTAACATTTTGTACACTGGTCTTCTATTTCTACTGGTGAAGCTCTGGCATAGTTCTCCCTCTCACATCTCGGGGCTTAGTGTTGGAGACTGCTCCCTGTACACCCTTCCTCACCAATACCTCACCATTACCTGCTGTGCCATCTGGAGGGGCGATCTTCATGGGGTATGGGGGCACGTGGGCCGTGTCGGGGCCCCCGTCCTTGCAGGGGCAGGTGAATGGGATGCGCTCCTGATTGCAGGCAA